CCTGTAAAGTGACTGTTACTGTATTTGTCTCTGTTCCTTTCTGATCTATGTTAATTTTGGGCTCTTTCCTTAGAGGATCCCTTTTAATAGTTCTTGTAGGGCTGGTTTGGTGGTCACAAATTCTTTAAGTTTCTGTTCGTCCTGGAAGATTTTTTATCTGTCCTTCTATTTTGAATAACATCCTAGCTGGATAAAGTATTCTTGGCTGCATATTTTTCTCTTTTAGCTCCCTGAATATATCATGCCAGTCCTTTTTGGCCTGCTGGGTCTCTGTGGACAGGTCTGCTGCCCATCTAATGTTTCTCCCTTGTAGGTTACAGATCTTTTGCCCCTATCTGCTTTCAGGATTTTCTCTTTGTCTCTGAGATTTGTAAGTTTCACTAGTATTTGTCAGGGTGTTGACCTGTTTTTATTGATTTCAAGGGGCGTTCTCTCTGCCTCCTGGACTTTGATGCTTGCTCCCTTCCTGAGATTGGGAAGTTCTCCACTATAATTTGCTCCAATATGCCTTCTGCCTCTGTCTCTCTTTCCTCTTCTTCTGGGTTCCCAGTTATTCTAATACTATTTCACTTTATGGCATCACTTATCTCTCGAATTCTCCCTTCTTGATCCGGTAGTGGTTTATCTCTCTTTTTCTCAGCTTTTTTATTCTCTATCATATGGCCTTCTATATCACTAATTCTCACTTCTGCCTCATTTATCCTAGCAGTTAGAACCTCCATTTTTTATTGCATCTCATTAATAGCCTTTTTTTATTTCAACTTGGTTAGATTTTAGTTCTTTTATTTCTCCAGAAAGGGATTCTCTAGTGATTCCTATGCTTTTTGCTCTTTTTCTGTCTTCTATGCTTTTTTCAAGCCTAGCTAGTATCTTTATAATCATTATTCTGAACTCTAGTTCTGACATACTACTTAATGTCCATACTGATTAGGTCCCTGGCAGTCAGTACTGCCTCTAATTCTTTTTTTTTTTTTTTTTGAGGTGAATTTTTCTGTCTTGTCATTCTGTCCAGAGAAGAACAGATGAACAAGAGAACAGAATACTAAAATGGCAACAATAACCCCAGAAAAATATACACTAAACAAATCAGAAGAGACCCAAAACCAGGAGGAAAAAAAAGAATATAATTAGACATGTGAGCAGAATAGAGCAATACACTGGATTCTGTGTGTATTTTGGTCTCTTTTTTAGAAAGCTAGGTCCCAAAATTGTAAAGAAGAAAATCTTCTACGTGTACAAAAATAAAAGTAACTACAGTGAAATGATAGAATGTAATGTAAAAATGGAAATTAAAAGACAAGAAAAAGCAAAAGAGGAAAAAAAACCCAAGAACAAAACAAAAAAAAAACAAAAAAAAAAAAAAAAAAGGAAGGGATATAAATAAACAGGTGAACAGAACATAGCAATACACTATCTCCTGAGTGTCTTTTGGTCAGTTTGTTAGAAGAAACTACATCTCAAAATTGTGAAGAAAGAAAAACTTACATATACAAAAATAAAACTAAGTACGTTGAAAGGATAGAATGTAAAAAACAAAAATAATTTAAGAAAACAAACAAAAAAGAGAATATGATCAGATCTATGTGCATAGAACAGAGTCATATACAAGATTTTGGGTGTATTTTGGTCTGTTAGAAGAAACTACATCCCAAAAATTGTAAAGAAAGAAAAAAAGTGTGTGTGTATATATATGTGGATGATCAAATACAACGAAGGGATAGAATATAACTGTAAAAATGAAAATAAAGATGTAAAAAAAGAGTTGATAAAGTAAGAAATTGGTTGAAAAGGAAAGGAAAAAAATTAAAGTTGAAAGACTAAGAATCATGGGGAAAAAAACCATGCATTCTATATGCTGTATTCCCCTAGGGCTGGAGTTTTGCAATTCTCATTGATCTGGAAACTTGGTCTTGGCTGGATGTTCTTGCTGATCTTCTGGGGGAGGGGCCTATTGCATTGATTCTGAAGTGTCTTTTCCCCAGGTGGAATTCCACCATCCTTGGTGGGGGCCAGGCTAAGTTATCTGCTCCAGTTTGCTCTATGTGCCTTTTATTCCCTGAAGGCTTTTGGTACAGCTTTCAAAGATGAGAATGAAAATGACAACCTTCCAGTCTCTGGCCCCAGAGCCAGAGCTCTGGGCCCGACCTCTCAGAGAACCCTCAGATAAAGCAATCAGTCACTCCTGTCCCCCTGGCCTTCATCCGCAATCCCAGCCTGTGACCGAGCGTTCTCTCTCAGGCACACAGTCCTGTTTGGAGTCTCCAAACCCTGTGGACTCCTTCCTCCTGGGTGAGGAAGGTGGGGTCTTGCTAGTTCTGCTTGTTGGGCATCTGCTCAGAGAGCAGTCGCCTAACTGTGCCATAGATCAAGGTTATGGCAGCCCTGAGCTGAGAGCCCACAAGTGGGCTCACTCTGCAGCCACCTTCCCTATCCTGATCCCTGGGAGCTCTGCCACACTCAGGCACCCCCAGTCTTCCTGTAACCTTGAGGGTCCTGAAACCACACTGTCCCAGCTAGGGTTCCACCCCCACTTAGCCACCTGAGCAACATCCCTCACTGGAGCAGACTTCTAAAAGTTCCGATTTTTGTGTTCTGCTGCTCTATCACTTGCTGGTAGCCAGCTGACGGAGGCTCCCTTCCCTCCCCCCTCCCCCCACAGTTAATCTTCCCATGTATCGCCTGGGATTCACTTTTCCACACCTCCTACCTTGCAGAAAGTGGTCGCTTTTCTATTTGTAGAGTTGCAGCTCTTCTTTTCTTAGATCTCCGGTTGAATTTGCAGGTGTTCAGAATGATTTAATAGCTATCTTGCTGAATTCCTGGGACCAGATGAAATTAAAATCTCCTGTTCCTCCACCATCTTGGACTCCTGCCCCCCCCCATTTATCTTTTCTTCTAAGAGTTTTATAGTTTTAACTATTACATTTTGGTTTTTGATCCATTTTGATTTAATTTTTTTTTGTATTTGACATAAGGAAGTGTTCTAACTCTATTCTTTTGTATGCAACTATCCAGTTGTCCCAGAACCATTTATTGAAAAGACAGTTATTTTTCCATTGAATTGTCTTGACATCCTTGTTGAAAATCAAGTAACTATAAATGTAAGGATTTATTTCTAGACTGAACTCTATTCCATTGGGCTACATGTCCATGCATTTATTTTTCTTTCATTCATTCTACAAAGATTTATTGAGTATCTTTATATGCCAAGCATTGCTTGACATGTCCATGTTACTTGCTTTTGGGAGCTTAGCTGTTCCTTTTTGAAGCACAAGCCTTCTTCAAGAAACACATTCTAACAGGATCTTGCATCTCTTTTTCTTAATGAGATATGAAGTGATTTCCTTTCATAGCCATACCCATAGAGACAGTTTTATCTCTGATTTGTACACAGTCTTTTGGCAGTTTGTTTCTCTGTTTTATAAATGTTCAGAAGTCTGAGTGTGGTTTAGAAGGCTTGGAGGAATGAAAATTGGTCTGGGATAGTCCAGTGGATGTATTGAAGATGAGGTTAGTATTAGAGTGGTAGGAAGATCTGCCACCACGATGAGGGCTCCTGGCAGGTTTGGAATGGCCCACATGGAACTTGAAATGTCCAGGAAGTTGGTAAGTGTAATTGCTGCCAGCAGGAAGGCCAGAGAGAAATCACAGAGAAGTGAGGGTAAAGGAGCCTGCTGGTTTGGGTACCCATAATTCTGCTTCCTGATTTTACTTTAGGAGCCGTTCCCTACAAGTATAAAGTTACAACAAGAAAATGACACTTACAGATAATGGCTTATTGCTGGGTTTAAGATGACCTAAAGGGGGCAAGAATTTTTTGTAATGGTGGTGGCTCATGTCTTCATAGGGGTTGTGATTGTAGAAATTGAAAGGAGAAGCCAAAGAAATTTAAAGTTAGCAGAACTTAATGATTTCCAAAAACTAATGATTCCATTGTTATGACTTCTGGACATTGGAAGGATAATTCTACCAGTGCTTATTTAATGAACAAGGTGAGAATGGTTTAATAAAGACAATAAACTTTGATTATCGTATGCTTATTGGCAAAATATTCGAGTGAATTTTAAAAGATAATTTAAACATTAGATAATACCTTGATATATAGTATAGATAATACATATGAAATGTAGGAGTTGCTTATGTTCATTAGATACAAATACAGTTGATTTCCCTTCTATAGGTGCCTGTTCATTTTTGAAACCCATATTATAAAATGACCTTTCAGTGTCTAATTTTAGAGGTTAAGCAATGGTTTTGTTTTCTCTATATGATAAATGTAAAATATATTGCACTTGGCCAGTGATTTTGAAAGGCTTAGGAAGGGTACCTAGATTCCATGGTATGCTGTTGCCATTAACAATATTGTTCTGGGGGCACCTGGGTGGCTCAGTGGGTTAAAAGCCTCTGTCTTCGGCTCAGGTCATGACCTCAGGGTCCTGGGATCGAGTTCCGTGTCAGGCTCTCTGCTCAACGTGGAGCCTGCTTCCTCCTCTCTCTCTGCCTGCCTCTCTGCCTACTTGTGATCTCTCTCTCTGTCAAATAAATAAAATCTTTAAAAAAAAAAAATATTGTTCTGGGGGTGGGGGGAGGCTATATTAGTGTTCTGGAGGGGGAAAGTTGGGGTTTTGGGTTGTCTTTTATTTTTTTAGATTTTATTTATTTATTTGTCAGAGAGAGAGAGAGTGCACAAGCAGGAGGAGCAGCAGGCAGAGAGAGAAGCAGGCTCCCCACTGAGCAAGGAGCCTGATGCAGAATCAATCCCAGGACCCTGGGATCATAACTAAGCCAAAGCTAGACACTTAACTGGCTGAGCCACCCAGGCATCCCTGGAGGAAAAAAGGTTTTAATATTGACTGTACTGAAAGACATTTTATATAAAGTTTCAGTTGCTCAAGATGGTTTTATGTCTTAACATTAAAATTAAATGTTTCAGAAAATGTATTACATGTTGAAACTTAATACAATATATATTTGTTTACCCATCCTAAAATTTCTTTCAGGAATTGTTCCATCTTCTGTTGTCCTGACTTCCTTCCAGGTGATGTCAAGAGTTTTTCTGATATGGGCAGTAACACATAGTGTCAAAGAGGTGAGTGTTTACATAGGCTAAAATAAAGTAATACCAGCAATGCTAGTCAATGCTAGTCAACATTTCTGTTTCATGTGTGTGTTAGGGCTACAGATTGGAACTCTAAGTCATCAGTGTAGCCCAAATGAAATGCATATTTGCTATGAGAATTGGATTACTGGTGGGAAATGTACCCCAAATATGCAGTGTTGTTAAAGAGAAGACTGGTTAAATGATAACGTCCTGCAGGCTTAGTTCCCATAGAGATTTGGACAATATGGATGTGATCTGCACTTCAGTTATATTTTTGGGGTATCTTGTTTGTTTCAGCATACTAAACTGGACATCTGCATCCTTACAGTGGAACTGTTGGGGGAGTAGGGGGTGTTAATTCAGTCCGGAGCAGTCCTCTTTATAGGACCAGGAGAAACAAACTTGTTTCCACCCCCACCCACCAGGATTAATGGAATTCTCAAACGTACTGACTCTAGTGGTTCTGGAAGGGAAGTGCTCTGCAGGGGGCGTGGGGTGGTACGTACCCCCAGCAGGCCCAAGGATACTGGGAGAAAGCCAGCAGTACGATCAGTGTGAATCGACAACCAAGCTTCATTTCCCAGTATGGAGAAGGAGATTGTTTTCCTGTATGTTTTTTGCTTTTTAAAAGTCATTTATTTCTTGTTAATGTCACCTTGAGGTAGAGTACCTGTAGCCACCAGGAGGATTCATTTTTCAAGTTTTTCTGTCCCAGACACCAGCAGTATTAGAATCTGTGGGGCTCATGAAATGTGCTTATCCATTAGCATTATTCTAATGTTTTCTTTGTCTTCTATTCTCCCAAAACCTCTGTCAAAACATTTTGTTTTTCAGGATTTATTTTGACAGTTTCATTTGAATTTCAGTGAGGTTTTTCTTTTAACTTTTTATTGGCATATGATATACAAACAGAAGAATGCATGTGGGTAATCAGTTTTTAACCAAAGCTGATTAAGCTATTATTTTTGTTACATTCATATGAAATTAGCTGAAGCAAAGGCGTTTTTTAAACTTCTCTCACTTCTCTAAGATATCTAAACTTTATATGCAAGAAGAATGTGAAAACAGTAATGTACTTTTAAAAAATTTTATTTTGATTCCAGTGTAGTATAGTTAACATACAGTATTATATTAGTTTCAAGTATACAATAATATAGTGATTCAAGAATTCTGTACATTACTCAGTGCTCATCCTGATGAGTGTGTTCTTAATCCCCTTCACCTCTTTCACCCATCCCTTCTCTGATAACCATCTGTTCATCCGTTCGCTACAGTTAAGACTCTGTTTTTTGGTTTCCCTTTTTCCTTTGTTCATTTAATCACATACTTTTAAAAAAGTGAGCTCATTTCTTTAAGGAATAAAGTTTTTTTAAAAAGACACATAAATCCTTTTAAAAATGTTTTTTATTTAAATTCAATTTAGTTAATGTATAGCATATTATAAGTTTCAAAGGTAGAATTTAGTGATTCATCAGCTGCATATAAGGGGACTGCTCATTACATTAAATGCCCTCCTTAATGCCCATCACCGAATTATCCCATATCCCCACCCACTGCCCCTCCAGCAATCCTCAGTATGTTTCTTATAGTCTGTAGGTCTATATAGTCCTACAGTCCTACAGTCTATAGCCCTGTAGTCTCTTATGGTTTCCTCCCTCTCTGGTTTTTGTTTTATTTTTCCTTCCCTTCCCCTATGTTCATCTGTTTTGTTTTTTTAATTCCACGTATGAGTGAAATCATGTGGTATTTGTCTTCTCTGACATACTTTGCTAAGCATAATACCCTCTAGTTCCATCCATATTATTGCCCATGGCAAGGTTTTTTTCTTTTTCTTTTTTTTTTTTTTGTTTGTGTGTTTTTGTTATATTTATATATATATATATATATATATATATATATATATATATATATATATCTTCTTTTTCCATTCATCTGTTGATAGACATCTGGTCTCTTTCCATAGTTTGGCTATTGTGGACATTGCTGCTATAAACACAGAGACGTATGTGCCCCTTCGCATCACTATTTTTGTATCCTTTGGATAAATACCCAGTAATGCAATTGCTGGGTCGTAGGGTAGCCCTATTTTCAACTTTATGAGGAATCACCATACTGTTTTCCAGAGTGACTGCACCCGTTTGCATTCCCAGCAACAGTGTAAGAGGGTTCCCCTTTCTCCACATCCTTGCCAACATCTGTCATTCCTGACTTATTAATTTTAGCCATTCTTACTGTTGTGAGGTGGTATCTCATAGTGGTTTTAATTTGTGTTTCCCTCATGCTGAGTGATATGGAGCATTTTCTCATGTGCTGTTGGCCATTTGTATATCTTCTTTGAAAAAAATGTCTGTTTGTGTCTTCTAGGCATGTATCCTAATGAGGCGAATTGCCCTTTGTTCTCACTCTTGTTTGTTTATGGAGTAAGGGAAAGTTACTTTACTTATAATACCATGTAAGCTCTCCATTTCAAAGTTCTTTCTACAAATCATTTTTAACCAGTATTTCTTCCTCCCTTACTTATGTATTTGCATTATTTCCTTTTTATTTTAAGTAGCAACTCATTAACTTTCCAATAGTCTCAAGTGATCTAAATTATTTTTCTGATAGGAGCTCATCTGATAGGAGTCTTAAACAGGTAATAATGTAGTTTCAGGAATTAAATGTTAGGTACATGAAGACAGTATTGTCAACTACAGGCTGTGTAATCGCTTTGCCTAAATAATTAGATATTAATTGTCCAGGTGCTAATGCCCCACTGTTAGATTATTTATGGCCTCTGATTTTTTTCTCCTCTCTTCTGCCTTAATGATCACTCTTTTCCTTTTCTCCTTCTGGCAGAGGGGGTAACAGGTAACTCTAAAATGCTTATAATTCGTTTCAAGCAGTTCTTTTTGCCATATTACTATTAGCAACATTTGCCAGGATTTCCTGAGCGATCGTTAAGACTGCTTGGCTTAAAAGCTATTAACTGGGTGAATTACAGACAGGTACGGGGACCTGGCCATTGTCCTCAGTAAACATACTACCTGAGAGATGCATAGATTTGACCATTTCAGATGGTTCATATATAGTGTCCTATTTGAGCTCTGCAGTAAATTGTACACTTGTTACTTTGCATATTCCAAATTGTTTCTTGGCAACCAAACATACCCAGTTTCCACTATCATTGACATATCATTTTCTTAAGAATGTGGTGCAGTTAATTGTGTTGTCTTTCTGCCATCTCTTGGGTCCTCTTCTTTTCACATACACCCTATTAATTAGTTGACTTGCTCCTTTCTCACGTAATTAGGATTCAGTGTTTCTGCTGTTCAGGGATCATTGTTCTCTTTTCCTTGTTCCCCTTTTCTTTCATTATTTTGTTTGCAGGGTAGATCCCCTCCCAGCTCACCCCAGGTCATCGATAGCTAATGTGAAGAGCCGGTTGCTGTGGCATTTCAGAGGCCAATCTGCTGTCACCTGGTCCTCAGTCCCTGCTCTTGGCCAAATCCCATTTTTCCTGCCTTAGAGTCTCATATTAGCTATAATTCACTTCGTTCTATACAACAGTACTTATGGCTTCCCTGCTACACTTCCATTCTTCTGTTTCCTGAAACATCATTGAACTATCCTTATTTCCCTTATATTCAACTCTGTTTACTTTAACAGTGGGAACCACACAACTAACACATAAAGAAATTGATGTCAGAAATAACTGCTTTAGGGGCGCCTGGGTGGCTCAGTGGTTAAAGCCTCTGCCTTTGGCTTAGGTCATGATCCCAGGGTCCTGGGATAGAGCCCCACATTGGGCTCTCTGCTCAGCAGGGAGTCTGCTTCCTCCTCTCTCTCTGTCTGCTTCTCTGCCTACTTGTGATCTCTGTCTGTCAAATAAATAAATAAAATCTTTAGAAAAAAAAAAGAAAGAACTGCTTTATAAAATACATCTCACTTTCTCATAGTAATGTTCAAATTCTTACTCTACTTTCATTCTCTGTTTGTTTTTACATCCTATTCCCCTCTAACTTGGTAAGAATTCTTCACATTCATAGCATTATATTTGGATATGGACTCTTTCTACCCCCCTTTCTCTGGATTTCTCATGTTTTTCCATGCTCATTCCCCTTGTTTTTCTGTAATTGTACGTGGTGTCCTAAGGTGGGGCTTATATACCTTTTAAGACTAGATGTTACCTTTTTTATATGTGAGATATATTTCCTTTTAACAGGCTTTATAGGACATATAGGACATGCATCTCACTGGTCATTTTAATTCTCTACCCATGGAATGTTGGTCACGTAAGTGTTGCCGTGTACATCATAGAACCAGAAGGTGACCAGACAGTTTTCTATTATGATATAAAAGGACTCACCCATCAGTTAGTGTGATATCTTGATTGGCAGGATATTAAAGAAATAATTGTGGTCTCTTCATTGAAAAGCTTTTCTTAACTAAGCATTGCAAATAACCTCATTTTTTTCCTTCTAAAGAGCACATATGAGCATAGTAAATCTTCTGACAAAAGTGACAAGCTCAGGGTGGGAGGTAGGGTGTAGGAATCAGCAATTCTAGCTGACCTCTTTCCTTTCTACTTTTCCTACCTGTGTCCCAGGCTTGGACTGGCTTCTTCTCCATCTCTTAGTCAGGCTGGCCACTGCTGCTGCCACATCAGACCACTAGGGGCTTTTTTTTTTTTCCTCACACTGTATTTGAGTCTGTTCTTTGTCTCCTCATTGAGCTGAAACAAGACTGGCATTTTTTTCAAAGTGAACTGCAGTGGAAAATGCTACCTTCTATCCCTCACTATAAACCCCCCTTCAAAAACACATGAGTTCATAGGGCATATATTCTTCTTTTGTTCAAAAGTAGCTAAACCTATCCCCAGATTCCTAGATACATAAATGAGCCACTGTCCCTTTTTCTGGCCCAGCCCTCTTAGAAGAAGCCATCCAAATCCTTGTTGGAGTTCTCAATTGAAGATCACCATGTTCTGAGGAGAAGTCCCTAGGCAG